CGCACCAGGTTACGAACCGTCGCACCACCCGCTGACCGCGGGCGCCACCCAGGTACGAATGCTGATGGCATCTTTGGTTCTTCTCTGAAAAGACATAATTATTTCCCAATTTATTTTTATTTCTTCATAGGTTTCCGACAGATACTTTTAGTTCCTGGGACTAAACGTTTCCGGTTAGCTATTCCCTCATTAAAACGTTCCTGAAAGGTTTTCCCGCAGCTAGCAGAGTTTTTTTTAGGCCCAAATAAATTCATATTAGTCATTTATTATTATTATTATTATTATTAGTATCCAAAACCGAAAGGTGGATACCCGATTCTCTGCTCCCCAATTTGCACACTCTTGCTGCAAGGTATAGGAAGACACTTGAAACCTGATTTGGAAAGTGCAAGACCAGAAGAGTGTTTTATAATTGGTGGTGTTTTTTTGTTTTGTTTTGTTTTTTTTTTTTGCTCCAGACATCGCCTCTGGTGCCGCTGAGCAGACTGACCTCGCGCCTGCGGCGCAGCGTCGAGGGCCTCAACTTGGAGCTGGAGGAGGTGTTTGTGTCAGAAAAACGGGACGAAGAGCATGAGGTGCTGATAGGGATCAGTCGCGATGAAAATGGGGATTCTCGCAGTAGCGGGAAATCCAAAACACTTGACTTTGTGTTGCAGCTTTTGGACATCCCGGACGGTCACAGGGCTCCCGCTCCGGTCCAGCGGTGCAGCAGTGGTTCCCAGAGCGAGTCGTCGCCAGGGCCCTTGGATCTTTCCCTGCTGTCTCCTTCTCAGTCACCGTGTCCCTTGGACCCTGCCTTGCTGTCTCCGTCCACCTCGCCCTGTCCTTTGAACCCTTCGCTCTTCTCCCCTACCCAGTCACCAGGTCAGGCGCTCGCTTTCAGGGGTTTATCGTAGTATTTTTCAGAAGTGGTAACCGACATTTGTCCATGTAACAGAGTCGACCACTCGAGAGGTCTTTTGTCCGTCTCCTTCCACGCTTTTGCCTTCATATGCAGTGGATCCTCCCGCGTTGCCACTGTGGTCGTTGCCTCCCTCCTCGCCACCGCTGCGGCTGCCATGTCCCGACCAAAGCTTTTCCTTTCAGCGACAGCCACCAGAAGGCTGTGAGCCGCTTCAATTGTGCCAGGACACAATGTAAGTTCCCTCTTTAATGTGTTGCAATAATGTAGACTCTGGGAAAATGGTGGCGTTTGACATGACGATGTCCCAAAACAATGGAGAATTGGTGGCGTTTCGCATTCAAATTTTTTAAAAACTGTGGAAAAATGTTCGGGAATGGCAGAAAAATGTGGTTTGTCTTTAAGAGAACAGGAGAATGATGGTCCAGTTTGATCTTAATATGTCTAAGAGCTTTGACATGAACATCTTTCTCCGCAGGTCCGCCTGTCCGGACGAAGGTGTCCACCTCCAGCCGTCCTGCCCCGACCTCAACAAGGTGAACTTCACACCACACGGAGGCTCTGCTTTTTGCCGCGTCAGCGTCCTCAAGCCCCTCCTGCCCTCCATGGACCTGCTCTTCCGTGGCCTGTCCGTCTCGCCCGTCACTAGTTGCCCGGGCCAGGCGTCTCCCACCAGGCAGCTCGGCATGCAGTGAGGGTGATGACCACCTCGCTGGACTAAATTGCTCTGGGTTTACTCCGGGCTTTACTGCCTCGTCACAGTAGCCTTGATCACACGGACTTGTGGATGAATACCAACTTGTTTTGTGACTTTGTTACTGTAATATGATCAAGCTCATTGTTTTTGACAAGGTACTTTTCTACCAATTCCTTATCAAGAAAATTTAAAGTATATTTTTGTAGCTTTCGTGGTGACGTTATTTGTATCAGGCAGGAGAAATCAACTCCTTTCTAGGTTTATAGTGCGTTCAACGTTATAAACAGGAAACTTTAATTTCCTACTGAGGGTTTCTTTCTAATCAAAACATTGCAAATGCAAGATTGTTAAACTGAATTGATATTTATGTGTAATTTGTTTCCCATTCAACCTACGACACCCATAATTCAATATTGTGACAAGAAAACGTTCCATTTTATTCTCAGTGATGTGGAAGAGCTTGATTTTTTTTGCCCGAGTTAATGTTATCGTACAGTGTGCTCATAAATGTACTTACCCTGGCAGAATTAATAAACAAAAAAATAAAACATCAAGTAATTAATGAGATATCATTAAACGTTCTTTTTCCCAAAGAAAATGTCCTAAATTCTGCTTGGGTATGTACATTTACAAGCATAACTGTACAGTATGTAGATTAAACAGTGACTGATTGGCGGGGGGGGGCGTTGTTTTCATTTTTTTCCGTGAAGACTAAATGAGCGAAATGGATTGTATTCTTAATATCCAATTTCTCATTCATCGGATCTACTACAGTACGACACGTGGATTAGAAGTTTTTAAATATCTAAATCCCACCCAGCTCCACCAGAGCCGCTCTATGATGGGCCAAACAGAATTGTTTCTTTCGTGTATTGACCAATACGTACAATCCACATAATCTGACGTCAAAATACGCGACGTTTTTAAAGAAAAGACCGTTTTTTTTGAAACAGAGTAGCTGCCTTTTATATTGAATAGGTACAAATATGTGGTTGAGTATTAAACATAACTAACCTCAATAGAAATGTATTTTTATCGGTTTCGTCAATGTGCATTAATTTATCTCAGTTACTAGATTAAACCAGAAAATAAAGCGAACACAATCAGGCGAATTTACGGACACCATTTTTGAGGTCCTTTCACAACAGCGAATTTCCAGACGTGATTTAACGAAACCTGTAATTACTTCATCACAACGGCATTCCTCTGCAGCGAAAGTAAATATTTAGACAACGCAAATGCAAAACGATAAATAAACAGTAATGACGTCTCCTGTGCAAAAGTGAAAACATAATACCCTGAGCATCCACTTCGGCTCCGGACTGCAGCTAGTAGTGAGTCGGACGGACGTGTCCGGGGGA